ACTTCCGTCGCCCCTCAGAGCCGGGAGACACCTGCCATCTCCACCCAGGCCTGACCTGACTTGGAGGCCCAACGTGGATCACTCTCCGCTGCTCTGCTGCTGCTGCGCCCGCTGCCGTTCTGTCGCTACGCAGTAAAGTCCTTTCCTGCTGGTCTGGTCCCCTTCTGACCCTTTCAGTCATTCTCCGCCCACTGCAGCGCAGCATCATGCTGCGTCGCTATTGAGAGGTTCCTTCACCTTGCGCGCCATGACCTCCATCGTCAACGGAGCGACCCCCGCGCCCAAGCAGATCCGCTTCGTCACAAACCAAGGCCATCCGCCATCAAAAAGACGCAGGATCAACGCCGCGTGAGTTTTTCTCTTTTGCTGCTCCTCTGCTAGTCGTTGCGGCTGGTGCTGTTTTCCTTAGCACAGTTACTGCATGTCTGCCCGTGAATCGTTTTTTGTATGCAGAAGCTAACCTGACTCGGCCTTCGACAGATGCCTGACCTGTCGCAAACGAAAGACGAGATGCGCCGGCGAGCGCCCCAGCTGCTCAACTTGCGCCAAGAACGGACACACCTGCTTGGGGTATAATGAAGTGATTGAGAAGAAATCTTCAAGTGGCGCCATCGCCACCCGAGATCCCCACCATGACGAGGACGACGACGTAGAGGAAGACGAGGACGACGACGAACATATCCGGGAAGAAGAAGGGGGAAACCCTGACAAGAGGAAGCATGGAAAGAGCACCGCTACCGGCCGGCGCCCCTCTGGATTCAAATCAGAAGGCGAACAACCCCCAAGGAACCTTGTCGACACCAATGCGGGCCACTCGCCGACCTTCCTGCGACGTTCGTCAGAACATAGCTCTCGTGACCAAGACCAGAGCTCTCGACCTCGACGACCCTCACATCCTCGCGCAACATCCTTCTCCGATGATGCACGCAGTACCCAGAGCCGCTCTCCTGTGTCGCATCATACAGAGCGTCACAGGGTGCCCTACTTTCGCTACTTTGGCCCGACAGCCATCGTTCCCGGCTACAAGCAGATGGTGGTGTCCGTACGGGACCGCAGACGAAGTACTGGCGGCTCTGCTGGGGCTACATCTCCAAGCTCGGGTTCCAGTGTAGTTCAGTCTATGGGAATGGCTCTGTCAGGTATACCTCAGCATGAAGAGGTCGCCGTTGCCGACGAGGACCTACCAGTCTACGATCCCAACGACCCTGCGCCAGTCCATCCTCTAGTTCTACACCTAGTCAAAATCTTCTTCTTGCATTTGGGCTGCAATTATCCCTTCTTGAAGGAGGGTAACTTCACCCGCATGGTCAAGGAGAAGCGTGTTGAGCCTATTCTTGTCGACGCTGTGTGTGCGTTGGCCGCCCGGTTCTCCGACTCGCCACAACTCGGGCATAGCAAAGACGAAGAGGCGTCTCATGCCGAACAAGGCCAGTTCTACGCCCACAGAGCGAAGGCTGCCACTGTCGACACTTTCCCCTGTCCGTCTGTAGGCGCTGTTCAGGCGCTTTTGATGATGGCGTACGAAGGTTTCGGGGCAGATCAAGACAGTGCTCTGTGGATGTACTTGGGCCTGGCCATTCGCATGGCCGTCGACCTGGGCTTGCAGAAGATGGTCGGCGTGATATATCAAGGTGAAAGAGACCCCTGGTACACTCGCCACGGAGACCAAGCGAGCAGTGATGCGGGAGCAACCGACGGTCCACAAGAGGACGACAACGGACTCACCCGCGAAGAGCAGCTCGAGGTTGAGCAAGAACGTACCGATACGTTCTGGGCTGTTTTCGTTCTTGACAGAGTAATATCTTCTGGAACAGGCAGGCCTGTGACGATTCGTGATGACGACTTTGAATTGGCTCTGCCAGTATCAACTCTTGACCCGGCATCGGGCTGGCCTGCCCCTTTCCCCGTCTTCATCCAGATCATCCACCTTTACGGCCGTGTATCCGACGTTTTGAACAATATTCGCAACGCAAATGATCTGACCTCGGAGAAATGGGCAAAGCTTTCGCGGATGGAGCATGAGCTAACGAAGCTCTACCAAAAGCAAGATCCCCGGCTACACTTCAGCGTCTCCAATTTCAAGACGTACTTGAAGTTGGGGCAGGGCACAAACTTCATTCTTCTTCACTTCTGGTTCCATGCGCTCATCATTATCCTGCACCAACCTACTTTGCTGACCCCCTTTGGCTCGTTAAGGAGCACACATCAGCTTCTACCTAACAGTCGCGAGCTTTCCATGTCTAGCGCCAAGACGATCGCCGATATTCTCGCCTTTGCAGAACTCATCGACCCCAAGAGCTTCATAGGAAACCCGTTCACATCCCAGCCCATGTACATTGCTGCATGCGCTTTCTTAATGGAATCTATCGCGAACGCCTCGAACCCCACGTCGAGAGAAACATCTCCGCCAAACGAGCCTAAGATGGAGGGGCAGAGGCAAAAGTCATCCTCGCACGAGCAAAGAATGTCTACTAAGCACTCTCTCCTCGCGTCGGCTGCCAACCAAAATTACTCTCGTTGCTACAAGAGCCTCCAACAACTGCATAAGTACTGGGGCGGAGTCAAATACATCCTTACAGCGCTCGACCAGAAGTCCAAGGGGATATGGGACTGCGAGACGTACACCAATGAGGAGTACGAGAGCGCCCGACTGCCTCGCCGAGGCTCAATCGGCGGGCGTTTCCCACATCCATCGACGCCCAACATGCCGCCAATAGCTTGGTCCCTCACGGGTACGACAAATTCACCAAACTCAAGCCTAACGCTCATGTACCAGAACATGCACGCCAGTCAGTCTGGCCATCACGGCTCCATGCAACCTCAACAATCCAACATTCCCACATCTGCGCCTACGCCACCTGGGAACATGATATATGACCCAATCCGCCAGAGCTTGCCCGAGACGGCTCCCCATTCCATCTTTGCTACTGCATATCCCCAACCGGTTATTTCTGCCATGAGACAAACGTCACGTTCTCACCACGCGCAACGCTTGTCGACGTCATCCATGAGCCCTCCTAATCAAGGAAGAGGCCATTTGCAGTTTGAAGGCATCCAGGAAGAGCAAAATTCACCCCCAACACGCCATGCCGGGCCAATTCTAGCTGCAACTTCGCACCCTCAGCAACCGACGTCTTTCACACCTTCGTCACACAATTCGGCAGGATATGACCACTCCATGATGCCATCGGTCTCGCCATCTGGCAATATGCACGATGCGGTATCGCAACAGCATCATACCGGGCAGCACATTGCTTTCGATCCTACATACGCCAACGCGACGTACTCCTACCTTGGGCAAGGCATGGGTCCCATCACGGATGTCATCACCTTTGAGAACCCGATTGATATTGGAGCGTTGGGGTTGCCAAACGAGATGATGCCACCATGGTTGGAATATCTGCCTGGAGATGTTTTGGGCCTCTTTGAAAACAACAATATGGACCCAGGCTCATAGGTTACTTGCTATATTGTTGATATAACCGGAATTACCATCATCTACGGTCATGTTGCATCTTTTTGCCGTTCCACAGAGCTGGACTGTCATTTTACATATACCCTCAGAAGTACGATCAATCGGCATACTACGAGCCGGGACTTGCTTGGGCGACAAAAATCTAGGTGTTGGAATGGGAACGAAAAGAGTTATCGGCGGGCAATGTTTTGCAATATATCCAATCATTTGATGATAACGGTCTGAGATTTGGTACAGCCTTCGGGCTGCGTAGTGTTCAGCGTTGCTCAAATGCATTTTTGGCGGCTGTATTATTCATTCCGAGTTTGTATTTCTAATGAAGGCAGGTTTTTTCAGCGTGTTTTCTTTTTTTACAATATTGTCTCTGGAACACCATTGGTATTGGGGAATCAAAATTCATGATATTGATACAGGAGCACTGTTAAAACTTCAGTTCGATTGCCTTGATAGACGTCTCGAGCTGACTTCCATACTTGTTCAGGAAGGCCTCACGTTTGTCGGTAGTCGGCAGTCTACCCGGAGGCATCGGAGCAGCGGAGTCGGAAGATGCTTGGTGGCTGGGTGCAGCCGGAGAGCTTCCCGAGCTTACCTCATCCGCTAGAAGGGTAGGCGGGAAGATGGCGAATTTTGAGTCATGATGGAGGGCGGCTCTGACGCAGCTGTCGAAATCTACACCAAGCCGGGCATCGAAACGATGTTTCAGGGACGTAAGATGTGCGGAACAGAACTTGGGGTCTGGTGGCCTAGATGTGCGCCGCGAAGAGCGCCGTGGATGGAATTGCTAATGCCCAGGAACTTCTAGGTTGAAGATTAGGTAATTATCACAGATTGCATCCAACGGCGATAGCTACGCAGTCAGGTAGCGGGAGGTATCCGTATCTCTAGACTCTAGATGGCCCATCCTGAACAGCTCTGACGACACTGACGGGCAAACACATGGGTCAATGGAAGACGCTAAGTGGACGGGTGGATCCCTTGTAGTGATTTTGCGTGCTGCGTTGGAAGGAAACGAAAGAAAAAAACTTGAACTGCGACGATGGAATGCATAGCAAGGCGTGCCAGGACTGGAAGTTGCGGGAGGACCGCCCCGGCTAAACCTTGGCCGACCAGCGACTGTCCACGCAAAGATTTTTCCGAGAGGCCGAGCAAGAGCTCACCCCGGTTGGGCCCAGTGTGATAGCAGATACGTACCTCTCAAGCAGTGCGCAATCGCGGGTACCCGAGTAATCCCGAGCCAATCTTTTCCGCTGCAAAGGACAAGTTCCCAATTGCGCCTGTCTCGGTCCTAGTTCGCTCCTCCCCCCCAGCCGCGGCGCCGCTAAAAAAAGGCCTCACAATTTTTACCCGACCACCTCTTACTTCCCGTCCCTCGACAACAACAAAAAAAAAGTTTCTCCCTTTCTAACCATCCATCCTCCATCCCTCTTGAACCTCACGATCCCGTTGCGCGGCTCTTCGTGACAAGTCCCTCCCCACTCAGCCTTTTGTATTTTTTCTCCGGTTCGATTTACACATCACATCCACAATGGCCTCTTCCGTTCCCTCTACCGGCTCGGCCAAGGTCGACGCCGTCGTCGAGAAGGCCGCTGCCGCGGCCCCTGGCCAGCTCTCCGGCCTCGCCCTCTACTCCAGATTCGCCCTTGCCGGTGCCGTCTGCTGCTCCGTCACCCACGGTGCTCTTACTCCCGTCGATGTGTAGGTGTTTTTCCCCTGCCGATTCTTCAGTTGGGAGAGAGAATCTTCTCCCTGGCCGGTGCGCGTGCCTTTCACAAGCCAAATGGCGGACAATGGAAGAGGAAGGCCGCAATCCGCCAGCGAAGCTTTCCACTCAATCGCGGCAGTCGACAATGACATACCGCAATGGTATTAAGCCAATTGGCACAGATGGCTAACATAGCATAAACAGCGTCAAGACCAGAATCCAGCTTGACCCCGCCACCTACAACCGCGGTATGATCGGCGGCTTCAAGCAGGTCATCCAGAACGAGGGTGCCGGCGCTCTTCTCACTGGCTTCGGTCCTACCGCTGCCGGTTACTTCCTCCAGGGCTCACTGAAGTTCGGTGGATACGAGTTCTTCAAGCAGCAGTCCATCAACTTGATCGGCTACGAGAACGCCGTCAACAACCGCACTGCTGTCTACCTCGCCTCCTCCGCTGCCGCCGAGTTCTTCGCCGACATTGCCCTGTGCCCCCTTGAGGCCACCCGTATCCGTCTCGTCTCCGAGCCCACCTACGCCAACGGTCTCATCGGTGGCTTCAGCAAGATGCTCAAGAACGAGGGTATCGGTGCCTTCTACGCCGGTTTCGGACCCATTCTGTTCAAGCAGTAAGTATAATCTCTACACCCCAGCCCAATTTCTTTCTGGCGCGCACGATGCGTCTTGTGCACGGAATTTAAAGAGAGCACCAAACACTGACACTACCTTTTCAGGATCCCCTACACCATGTCCAAGTTCGTCGTCTTCGAGAAGGTCTCCGAGGCCATCTTCCGCCAGTACCCCAAGAACACCCTCTCCGACAGCGCCCAGACCGCCGTCAACCTGGGCTCCGGTCTCATGGCCGGTTTCGCCGCCGCCATCGTCTCCCAGCCCGCCGACACCATGCTCTCTAAGATCAACAAGACCAAGGGTCTCCCCGGTGAAGGCACCACCTCCCGCCTCATCAAGATCGCCAAGGAGCTCGGCATCCGCGGCTCCTACACCGGTATCGGGGCCCGTCTTTTCATGGTCGGTACCCTTACTGCCGGTCAGTTCGCCATCTACGGCGACCTCAAGAAGGCTCTCGGTGCCACCGGCGGTGTTGAGATTTCCAAATAAACAACGACTTGATGAACCGGAAAGACGTGGCGAGAAGATGGTTGGCGAAGAAGACGAAGAAGAAGAATGGTGTTGGTTTCTGGATGAGGACAGAGATGTCTCCTCCGTCCCCTCTTCATCACCCTGGATCCAGGATTGTAAAACTCCGGGAATGAACCTAAACGGCGGGGAACCACATTTTTATGATATCCTCTCACAGCAGCAAGCAGCATTTGCCGCCCCCCTTCCTCACCCACTAGATGGGGGCTGCATTTCTTCTCTGCATTAGAAATTTTTTCTTTAACGAACATCGGCCTGGGCAAACTTCTTGTTTCATCTGTTCAGCAAGACTCCTTGGAGGGCATGGGGACTTGGGTTGATCTTTTCAGGAAAACTGCCTATCATAGAAGCATAGAGCATGATAGACGAAAAGATGGCTGGCCTGCCGGAGGGTTGTATAATAGTCGCTTTGTAGTTTGCAATCATAGACCGGGAGTTTGGACCTCTCCGTTGATTCCGTGTTGACGTGTGCTATGGTGAAATGCTTCTATTCCATTCTACATCCGCAGCGCTCAGGTAAGATGACTATGGACGCAAGCCACTGACGAAATCACAACATGGCATCATATTCGCATCGACAAGAGGGATCGAAGCTAAGTTGTCACGATCGTCAGAGCACCTCATTTCCAGAATTCACTAGTTTTGTCCGTACTGAGAGGACGGCGGATAGTTGGGTTGACTTTTGTCCCCGTCAAAGCGGCCCGGCAACTGGGCCATGCCGCCACAACGGGATGGGAACTGTGGTGCCAGTAAGGTGACCGCGGATAGGATGGGAAGACCGGATGGGGTCATCCGGGTGGCTAAGACTGTACCCTGACCGGTCACCGACATTTTGAACCCCTGGAGACAGGACCTTTCAAAATGGAGAGAGACAGAGAGAGTCCGGGATGCCCGTTGATGGTGCAACTATCTTCTTATCGGCTTTACTAGATGACGTCAAATTGGCTGTGCGAGAGGGAAGAAGACATGTATGTTTTGACGTCGCATGGAAGGGAACTTTGCGTGGGAAATGGGAGCGAGTGAATCCTTTTGTTTGAGGCTGCTTGACGATAGAATACAGATGGAATATGAAAGTATAGATTACTCTGTACATCATGGCCAGAAAGATCATGACACTGAAGATTCGTACTCCTGTACATGAGTATCCTCCCCCAACCATCCGCATTCAAGACAGAACATTCAGGCAAAGATCCTAATTGGGCGGAAAGAAGGACGTCGAAAAATGGCATGGTTGGGCGAAGGAAAATTGAGCGGGTCAAATTTCCACCCCCACTCCGTCACCAGTGACCGTCCACCACCCCCGTGTTTCGACCCGGCAACCAAAGTAAACAAAACAGATGAGCACACCGCGAGCAGCTCACGCAACCCCCAGTCGATGCGCCAGCCACTCCCGTCACTTGTCAATGCAAAGGCAAATGCAGGACGCAGGATGCATGGTATCCTGGGCCTATCCCGACCCTTTAGACTGAACGCGCGCCTCACTCTCACCGCAGCTTTTTTTTTTGTGACTGCCCAACCGGCGCCAAAAGATGAGAAGGTAGAAAGCCCACTTGCAATAGTTTGACCAACCACCGGGAGACAACGAAGCATCACATATTAGCCGAGCACCTCTCTCTACCTCTCTCTCTGTGTGTTTCTGTATGATTGTCCAGAACAAGTTCAAAGTCAACATTGGAAACTCTGTCTTCAGACCAAGGTCCCACCTTGACTTTTGACCTGTTCGAAAAGAGAGAGCACCATATTTCCACCGAACCATCCTAAACGAACCACCTCCAAAACCGGTTGCTCCCTCGACCCGTCCCGGACCGGGGGCCATAAACAGACTGGAATTATAGGGTACCACCCCCACACGCAGCATCCTAACGTTTCTCGAGAGACTTTTGTGTCTCTCTTTCTCGTCTCTAAAGAGAAAGGAGGATTATCCCAACCCGCATTCACCGCATTCCTCAAGCCCGCTTTTTTATCCAGATTACTACTGCTTCCTTCCCGTCCCGTTCTACCTCAACGACTGGAACGAACTCGGGATCTCACAAGTTTTGTCGGTCTATCTGTCGACTACTGACAGATGCTACGATCCGGGCCGAAACCCGAGGATCTCGACTTTGAGATCCATGTTGACCAGTCTTGCTTGAATACACCCGCGCACGAAGCTGCCGAGTCCGAAATTATGGAAGACGACGTCCCCGCCGCTGCTGCTGCTGCCGCCAAGGCTGAGACCGAGGAGGCGAAGACGGTGGAAGATACACAGGAGGATGTCAAGGACGAGACTCCCGCAGTCGTTGTGGAGGAGTCAAAGACCGAGCCGGAAGGTGTGAAGGAAGACGACAAGGAGGAAGACACGACAGAGGCCGAGGCAGCTGTAACAGAGGCTGTCGTGGAGGCTGATACTGAGGATACTCCCGAGCAAGAAGCCGACACGACAGTTGAGGAGGCTGCGGAGGCTGAAGAGACAAAGTCTGCCACGGAGAACACCTCTGAAGAACCTGAGACCAAGCTTGAAGAAACGGAGCCTGCCTCGGAAGATACACAGACGGCTGAGGAGGATAAGCCGGAAGCGGCGACGGCAGAAGAAGCCGACACACCAGCAGACGAGGATTCGTCTGCGAATACCGAAACCAAAGATACACATGAGGAGGAGCCATTAAGTGCAGAGGCTGAAGCTGAGAAGGGAATTTCAGAAGATACTCCCGCACCAGCAACTGCGGAGGACACTGAGCTCGAAGAGTTGGTCGCTGAGGTAGAGGCAGAGCTTCATGCCGAGCTTGAAGCTGTCGTTGAGGCCGAGGAAGCTGAAGAGACAACAACTCCGGCAGAACCTGAGGCTCAACCTGAGGAGGAGAGCAAAGAGGATACGCCCCTGCCAGAGCCCGAGCCAGAGGTTGCCGAGCCAGAAGCTGCCGAGCCAGAAGCTGAGCCAGAGGTTCAACCAGAGCCTGAACCCGAAGTCGAGGCCCAGAAAGAATCTACCCCCGCCCTAGAGACAGAACCTGAAGACGAGGAAGTTGAGAGGGGAAGATCACTTGGACCCGCGGCCGAAATCACAACGAGCCAACTGGCAGAGCAGGTCGCAGACTCACTCAACATGGCTCAGACAGACTCAGATGAGACACCCACACCCGCTCCTGCCATCGAAGTCGCCGACGAGGACCATGGTGAGCCCGCCGGCGTCCAAGAAGCCAGTCGTTCCTCTTCTTCCCTCCGCCGCGTCTCCGGCCGTACCGATGCTCTCATTCAGGCTGCCGCTAAGGAGGTCCTCGAGCGACTCGAGGCTCAGACCATGGAGACTATTAGAAATAGGTCACACGCACGCCACGACTCCACGGGGTCTACAAATAACGGCACAGAGCTACACTACGATGTGAGCACTCGGCGCGAATCCTACAACACCGACTCGCGCGCTAGCCGCCGTGAGTCGTATGACACGCAATCGCGGGCAAGTCGTCGCGAGTCCTACAACACACAATCGCAAACTAGCCGTCGGGAGAGCGATGCCCGTCATCGACCCGCGCATCACGAGGACGGCGGCGACAGCTCCTCCCAGCACGGCGACTCGGACGTCTTCAGCGACCGCAGCCCGCGTAGCTCACTCGGTTCCTTTGATGGCAATATCGACCATCACAAGGACACCAGCAACCGTTCCTCCAAGAGATTCTCCCAAATGTCTGACGACGTCTCCGTATCCGAGATGTCCTACTACGATAAGGAAGACTTCGTCCCAACCATCCGCGGCGCGCCTAGGATGCCCTTCCGCTCCCCTTCCGACGTCCGGGCTCTGCAATACTCATCCCCCGCGCCCTCCGTCACCGGCGGCTCCTACTCACCACGCTCGAGCAAACGCTCCCAGGTGCCGACCATCTCCCGCCTCGGCAGCCCCAACGTGTCGGCCCAGTACTCTGCCAAGGGCCGCAAGACACCTACCCGCTTCAACCCTAAGAAAGAGCCCGCCCCGCTCGTACTTCTTCACGTCACCCTGCTGCCGCTCCGCTGGCAATGGGCTGAGATCCTGGAGCAAACGTCTTCCGAGACGCTGTCCCCGGAAGCAAAGACGCTCCGCGAGGCCTGGCACCACCTTCACGACCGTGTCGCCGATACTGTCTGCGAGCGCGGCATCCTTCTCTCCCACCCGCAAGACGAGTACGAGATACTCGAGGAGCGGCTGTTGGAAGCCCTCGACCTTCCTCTGCGCCGAAGGGCCCGCGTTCTCGAGTGCGGGCACTATCTCGGCCCGTCCAACGAGATGACGCTTGGCGAGGACATGGACAGCGACGAGGAGGAGTACGACGAAGAGTTGAGGCGCAAGAGCGCCCTCGCAAAGACGCACTGGTGCCAGACATGTCGCCACGAAATCCGCTACGAGTCCCTCGGCCCCGGCAAGATCTTCCGCATCAAGGTGTACGCTAGCAACGGCCTTATGAGGACCGGTGCGTGGGCGGCCTGCTGGAAGGAGATGGAGCGTGTTGATGTTGAAATTGAGCCCATTGTCGAGTCGGCTGTGCTGGATGAGCTGGAGCGTCTTGTTGTCGCGCAGTCGCAGCAGATGTCGCTTGTAAAGCACGATCCTACGATTCTTGAGTCGACTGAGGGGAGGGATATGCCCGAGGAGCGCGGCATGTCGGACTTTGATCGCGATATGCCGTCCATGGAGGAGCCGATGCACGAGACGTCGCATATTGAGGAGACTCATCTCTTGGAGCCGAAGTACATTGAGAGCGAGGCTCATATCCCGGTCTCGTCACCTCCCCCTGCTGCTGCAGAGGATATCCGGCCCCCGTCTCCGGAGCCGATGCCCCGCTACGACCAAAGCGAGGAACGCCGTCTCCGCGACGAGGCGCGCATGCGTGAGATCTACGGTCACCCTCCGGCGCCTGAACCAGAGCACCACGAGCCAGCCCCCGAATCTCGGCCCGCATCATCGCACCACGACGCCTACTCAGCTCGCTCTCCTCCTCCCTCACAACAACAGCAACCTGAACCGGAACCCCAACAACCTCATTACCACGAGCAACATCAGCACCACCAGTCCCCTCCCCCACCGGAGGAATCCTACGCCCAACACCACCAGCGCCAACAAGCCTTCCAGAACGCGGGACTCGCGGAGTTGCTTCTCGAGGCTGCGCGAGTGTTTATGCAGGATAAGAAGAATCTTGCCATTGTGGTCATGAGCCTGCTTGTGCTGTTTATGGCGATTCGTCCTGCGCCGAGGGAGGTGAAGGATTGGGATGGGCAGTTTGTCGATCATGCTGCTGCTCCTGTGGTAGAGTTTCCGGCCTCGCAGCAGGCGCCGCCGTTGATGGAGAGCATCAAGGCTGTTGTGGAGTCTGTAACGGCTTCTGAGGCTTCGGTGGAGGTTGTTGTTCAGCCTACGCCTGAGGTTGAAGTCGCTGAACCAGAGCCTAGTGTGGAGGTTTTTGTCTCTGAGTCTGTTGCGATTGTTGAGGATGTTGAGCCTACGTCAACGTTAGCTACGGAGCAAACTTCAGCTGTGGAGCAGGAGACTTCTGTGACTGCTTCTCCTTCTTCGTCTTCTGAGGAAGTGAGGGCTCCTTCGCCTACTCCAGTTCATGAGACCATTACTACTAGAGAGTTGGTGCGTATCATTGAGACTATTACGGAGACGGTCAAGGCTGTTGTTACGGAGACGGAGGTTATCAGGGTTCAACCTACGGCTAGTGTTGCACCTGAGGTCGAGGCTGAGGCTGATGCCGTGGTTGAAGCTGAGGAAGGCTCTGGTAAAGAAGCTATTGCGGACACCCTTGCCGCGGAGGACGTATCTGCGACTCTCGTCTCTGAGGACGCCTCCGAGACTGAAGAGGCATCAGCTTTTGAGACTGTGTCGCCCGTCGAAGAGTCCACTGAAGACGCTGAGTCTGAGGAAGAGGCACCTGCCACTGAGTCGGCTCTACCCGTCGCAGAGGACGCAGAGCACGAGGTCGCAGATGAGCAAGCACAGGTTGCGAATGAAGATACTGAGCAGCTGGAGGAAACGGACGAGAATGAACGGGATGAGCTGTGAAAGTGATGAATGAGTTGGGTATGTGCATAAAGAGACAAAGAGAAGATGTGAAATGAACGAAGTTAGGAAGGAAGGAGAGAAGAAGGAACGAAGCAAAGTGTTACGCTATCACACCCACACACACGTCTTGTTTACGCAACGCACGCACATGCATTGAATGGTTCTTCATATCACCCAGCAAGCCAGCCAGTCAGTCTTTTAGCAGATGGATCTGCTTTTACAGTCTTTTTCAGAAGAGGGGTGGGGTGGAGTAGCTGTGGGGTTTGAATGAGGTTGGAACTGGGGAGATTGTATATAGAGTTGTAGTGAGAGTGAGGAGGCCAGCTTGTGAAGCTGGTGAGAAGGAATGGAGTTTATCAATGTTTGCCAATCACTTGCTAAGTGCACCTCTTTTGATTATGCGTGATGTGGATATCCAAATGATGTTTCCAATGGCCTTCCGCTATCCTCTTGTTACACGTAGTCTTCCATATGACTCCGGGCTCATAGACGTTGTAAGTAAGTGGTTGAATATTGATCTAGACGTAAATTTGAAAGATAGCAGAATCCATTTTCACCTGAGCCTTTAACATTCTTAGCTTCCACCTTAGAAGACCTTCCCCATTCCTCTTGAACGTAATACTCCAGACATTTCTGTCCCCGCGAGATTCCTTCTCTCCCGCCTAACTCGAGCTTAATTTCTCAGTGACACCAAATTTCAAATGTCGAATATCATTCCCGGAGACGGCAGAGTAGCGGCCAGGTCAGTACTCGCTCCATACGCCAGCCCCATATCAAGTAGCGCCGAGATCTCGTCGTGCTCCTGAAGAACCTTTGCGACCCCCAAATGAGCCTCTGCCTTTGCGAGCTCAATTGCCCTGGAGAAGCCAGTCTCCGGATCCCCTTTGGCGCCATTTTCAAGCAGAAGTTGAACCATGTCTAGGCGGCCGTGTTCAGCAGCTCCTTCGATCGCCGTCCTGCCGTTCACGGCTGCGGCAGGGGCGTTGATATCTGCTCCGCGTTCGAGCAGCATCTTGGCAACACCTAAATCGCCGCTTATTGCTGCCCCCTGTAGGGCTGTGAGGCCTCCTTGATTTGCTGGTGGTGCGTTGATGTCCTGGTTGAAGGAAAGCAGAAGCTCCAGCATTTCATGTCCACACTGTTCTCTGAAGTTACACGTCGCTGCCTGTAACGCAGTTCTGCCGTAATCGTCGCTCGGGTGGGCATTGATATCGGCTCCATACTCGAGTAGCAAGCGAGCAGCTTCAACTTCGTCCAAGTATGCAGCAAGTTGAAGCGGAGTCTTCACGCTCTTTGGAGTTTCATGCTCAAGCTCATCCTGAAAAACACCAGTGTTCCTATCCACGTGCCACCTGGCTTCTGTTCGTGCGCCTAGTTCCAATGCTGACTGCAGGCATTCGTAATGGAAATTGTATACCAAGTGGTGCAGTAAGCTACTGTCATCGCCGTTTAGGCGATTGATGGGCGCGCCCATGGCCACCCAATTTCGAAAACCTCCTAGTTTTGAAACTTGATTTCTTTGGTACTCCGGGGGGATGTACGAAGCTCTGGATGCTAATCTCGGGTAGTAGCCATCCTCGTTAGACTTTGCGAAAGCTTCCAGCACGGTGACTCCATTCCTCTTCGCCGGAGCGGCCTTTATGTCTGCTCCGACACTGAGCAGACAATCTGCAACTGATGTTGCACCACATTCGACAGCACTCTGCAGTGCCGTACGTCCTCCATCCTCATGAGCAGCAAAGTTAACATCCGCGCCACTTTCGAGGAGAAAACGCGTCAGAAGCAAGTCTCCTTGACGTGCCGCTTGTTGTAAGCAGCTCATTCTTTGGACTCCATAATAGTTAAGGGGAGCCTTGAGATCAAGGAGACAGCTGCATAAGATCAAGCTCCTTTTTTTGACTGCGCTTACCAAGGCGGAAGCTCCAATAACTGGCATCGCCGATACTCTCGATACCAAAAGGGAGTATAATGGTAGCATATCACTGTAACCCGATACCATGCCTTGGTCATCCATGCTCCGTCGGAAAATGTCGACAAGAACGTAATCGGGCACATGGGAACCAGCAAGCAATAGTAAATGCGTGATTCCTCTCCCTTCGATATTAGCATTGTGAGCCAAAAAAATTGGTGCCTCTTCCACTAATTCCTCGTCAATACCTAGAAACTTTGAGCATTCAATCTGACATGGCGGCGGATTTGGATTCACGCCACGTTGAAGTAGCGTTTGCACAGCGAGAGTGTCTCGCACTTTGATGGCTCGACGCAAGGCGCATTCCAAAGCCATCTCCTGAAGTATGTTGTGTTGTAGAAGGACTTTGGAGAGCTCGCTGTTACCGACGCTCGCAGCTTGAACGATCAGATCAACGAGTGGCAGGTGATGACGGATCCATTGCCGAAGAAGCGGATACTTTCCATCATTGAATACGCTCCTCAACTTGTCTTGGAGGGGCCGCAAATCGACTTTGATCGACGGAGGTATCTGAGCTCCCTTCCTAACGAGAAGATCTGCAACATATGGTTCAAGTTCGGAGATGCAGATACTAAGAGCGTTGCAGGACAACTTGGGAGAATCCGCCTGGTAACAGTCATTGATTTCAGCTCCTTCCTCGATGAGAAACTCCGCCATGTCAGGGTTCTCGAAACATATGGCTTGAAATAGCGGGGGCCCGATTGGGGGAACGGGGCGTCGAAAGGGTCTAGTGCCACGTTCATATCCGATGGTTGCGGTGAAGTTGATATCGGCTCCATGAGAAAGCAATGTCCTTGCAGCTGATGCGGCCGAATTTCTTGCCATGGCGTGAAGAAGAAGTGAAGACAGTTCGGGGGGAATTGCCAGCCCTTGTTTGTCGAAGAAGTCGACTAACTGCTCCCCCCACGGGTATTTGGTGGAACGAGAAGCGGTAGGGTGACTGTCTTCATATAGACCTAGTCTGAGCCGACGCACAGCTGCTTCCAAAAGGGCTCCAGCATCTCTGGGACTCATCTTCAAATACACCGCAAGTTGATCCAGTACATCCATTTCATTCACCCATTGGAGGAACGAGGGAATTGCATGGATTCCTGTGATGTTGTTGCAGATGAGATGCAGAACAATGGAGAAAAATAGTTTCAGCAATCGCTCATTCTGGCACAGAGAAATTTGGCAATCCTTTGCATCCGCGTTATTGTGATCTTCCAGGCTATCGTTGTCTCGCCGAAGAACGTTCTCGGCAATGAAGTAGATCGGCTTCAATGAAAGTAGAGAAGGATCGCCGCTTGCCAGGGTTATCCAGCCGGAACCCGAACTGGAATATGGTTCCTGCCACCAACATGGCCACCGGACTTGGTCCACCTTGGAGGCAAAAGTACTGATATCCCTTTCAAGGGCTTTCATGAAGTGATTGACTTCTACGGCTGTTATTAGCGATGTCTCTACAAGCATTTTTTGGGGACATTTTGGCTATTACGTACGAGAGACATTTAATGCAATTCCATTTAGCATCCCCAAGAAGCGAGCTGGTATTTTGGGACGAGTTTTCAATACCATGCTTGATTCAGAAAAACAGAAGTCAGGAATAACATAATCTGGTGTTGGACACCGTCGCTGGGACATCGCTGATGTCGTACCCTCGCTAGTCCCGTCAGGACTTTCTCGACCACTTCGTGGACGAGGGATGCTTTGCACGTGTAGCATGTCCTGGGGACCTTTCTGGACCAGAAGCTCAGTGAAGCAAGGAGTGTTCATGCTGATGTTACTGCAATCGAAATCAAAGGAGTACACATCTGCAGAGGAAGGGTTGAAGTTCATTAAATTTGGGCCACAAGGGTCTGCGACATGAGTGACATCCGCTCTGGAGGGAAGCCGTACAATGCTCGACCGGGTATCTGACAGAGTATCGCTCCTGGGGAGGATCTTTGTGCGCAATTCTAGCCGGTGCAGGCCTGAGGTATCGATGCCAATGTCTAATTTGTTTCAGAGATCTGGTGCTCGACGACTACTTCAGTTAAGGGTTCTAGACTACTCACCAATTGGGACACCGCCATCCTCCACATCTCGACCGCGAATGCCGCTATATCGACGCAGTTCTCTAGCAACCCGCTCAGGGTCAAGCTGGCGCCCGTTGAGGAAGATCAGACATTCTTTGCCTGCGGCCTTTTGCTTTTGCATCTCTCGTTTAATGGCTCTCCATTCGTTGGCGCGCACCTTCTTGAGGCCTGAATAGCGCTTCTTGAACTGCTTTATACTTCTCCAATGTTAGAGGCATGATGAGAATGTTTCGAGAGGTAGACAAAGTTTTAAACTTACGTTATCTTTAGTTTGTGTCTTTGATTCAGAGTGTTGATTGTTTCCTCCGCAGATCTGTCTTCAGTGACGTAGAGTTGAGTGATCTCATCGTTCCAAGTATCCCACTGAATAGCAGACATGGCGGCGGTCTATTGAACAATGACGCGATATCTACGACTATGCAAAAGAGATGTCGGTAGTTTTCTCGACTTAGCGAAGTGATGTGCCCAGTATAAGATTGAAAGTATTGCGCCAGATTTCAAGTGAGAGTGCTAAATGCTATTAGATGGTCGTGCAGTTCACTTCTCAACTTATAATGAATGAATGATTTAGAGGTGGGCCTTTTGTGAGCACAGCACCAAGAAAAGTACAGCCTGGTGAGCTGACCTGGACTTCTTCTACATGGCAAAAGACCAGTCGCAGAGCATTGGTCGCCTGGTCATTGCCAAGGCTTATCAAGAGGTGCTAGTGCTATGAGAACCATGCAGACGACCAGTGCTATAGCGAGTTGTGACAGAGCTGTGTTACATCAAGCGTTGATAGGCTGACAGGGGTCTTTGTGTTTTGCCTGCACACACCAGCCTGCAAGGGCCTTTTGATCACCTATCTGCCCAAGAGAAGCCCCAGGCAGCAAAAGTTCCGGTTGCCTGAAGAAGTGTTGCGGTGAACTACTTTATCAGATCAGGCGGTCTACGACTCTTTGAACCCTCTGATACGTCCCCATCCATCCAATTGCGACACTTCACAACGAGGCTATGGACCAATTGCCTGGGGAAAGATTAATGGGGTACCTACATCCTGCTCCCAAAGTTGTACCGCTCAGCTCTGCTGGGACTCTGTTGATGCGACTTCGACAGATAATTGCGTTTACTGCCCGTATCCTGAGTTCTTATCACATCCCCAGGCTAGAAAGTTTTAGAAACCATGTATGCAAATTGACTACAAAATTCACAACACTAATTTGCAATCAACACGTCTTGGCATTACTGAAGCTTGATTTGCAGAAGTCGCCACAGCTCTGATTATCTTCCACCTGAGAGAAGCTTTGGCACGATTATCCAAGCTGACAAGAGCATCTCTGTGACAAAATACTGTTAGAACACTTGGGTTGAATGAATTATAGCGCATAGGGTCCTCCAGCTTCGGGGTTGGAAGGTGGCAAGGCCATATGTTGTCAATAACTTACATGCAGCGCGTACGCGTTTCCTGTAAAGATGGAAAAGGCAATGGCAATGATTGAGAACTTCATTGTTGACTAGACGGTGACCAAATATAGAAACGTAAATGCCCCTTTCTTTTCTGTAAGCTAGTTGAAGATCTGATGACTTGATGGTGTTAATTCAAGCTGTGAGTTGATGGGAATTGATTTGGTATTTATATAATCCTGTATGGGAAGGGCGGCAAATGCCTCTCCTGCCCTTTCAAAAAGCGGATGCTTACGACAGCCTCCCGTGATGAAGCCGCCGGACCGGCGACTTTAGGAAGTTTATGGAGTTACGAGGGCTTATCACTGTTTTAGAAAGCATTCCTGGAACACAACATGATGCCACGCCTCCGTGGCCTCTTGTTTCAGACACTTCCGCCAATCTCTTCTAGAAAATGACAACTAGTTTTTGTAGTACATATGACATGGACATGAATTAGCCCGCACTGGATGTACTTATCCTTGTTCACATGGCGCTTCGCGAAAGCGATGAAGAGCTATGCTCTACTTTGCTCGACCAAGGATCTTCTTACAGGCCAAGTACGCTTCAGACACTTGCCACTTGACTTGAAGTCCTCAGTTCAAGATAGCCTGGCAGTGACCGGGGTGCAGCACAGGCAAAATACCAGGGTTGTTGGAGGACCTCCCCGCTGTCTCTACTATCCCCACCATCAGCAGTCGCACTTTTCAACCAGACTCAGCCGAGTACCTGATAATCCTCAGATTCATTTTTAAGTATATGCAACTTTTCTCAATACCTTAGTCTTTGATCGTGGGAATGAGTACTCTTGAGCAAGGATGTCCTTCCGTCTTGCGATGCCCCAAGAGGAAGGAACAAAGGTGCTCGCTTGACTGGATCCGATTGGTGGAGTTCACCCAACGGACCCACCAGTATTGCTTGCTGGCGCCGATAAGCTAAGGTACCTTACCTTAGTTCTCTGTGATAAGATAGCGATAAGCAAAAAAAGTTGCCGACCGTCGAGATTTTTGATGGTCCCCCGCCGTTGCTCAGACACCGATCAAGTTGTCGACTCCAATCGCGAAAACAGCAATCATGGGAAAGCGCAAGGTCACCGCCCTCGAGAAGGTCGATGTCGACTTGTAAGTTCTCGCGATCTAGCCGACACGTCAATCACTAACAAGCACAGCGCCGGCCTGCAGTACAAGATCCGCCGCGATCCCAAGTCGTACGAAGAGAACTTCCTCCAGCAATGGGGCCAATACGAGAGTCAGCGCGAGGTCTTCCTCGTCTCGCCGACGACAGCGACGAGAGAATACACAGAGTCTTTCCATAACCTCGTCGATCTCCTCGCTCACACCGTCGACCTGTACCCGAAGCATGCTGTCGCGTTCCCCGACGACCTGAAGGCGATCCTGTTGCAGCACCACGAGGTTCTGCACCCCGAATTGCGCGAGAAGATTGTCGGAGCTTTGGCGCTCCTCCGAAAGAAGGACGTCATTGACTCGACGTACTATCTCACGACGCTGTTCCCCATTCTTGTGTCATCACCCAGCAAGTCGCTGCGAACGCTCCTGTTCGGCAAGATCCTTACCGAGATGCGCAATGCGAACTCCAAGGCGACGAACCACCCCCTCAACCGCACGATCCAGACCGTCCTCTACAACCTCATCACGGCCGACCGCACATCACCGAAAGCTGTTTGGGCTGTCAAGCTGACCCGCGAGCTGTGGAAGCGACAAATTTGGACCGATGCCAAGACGGTCGACGTTATGAAGGAAGCGGCTCTCTCCGACAACGAAAAGGTTGTCGTTGGTTCCGTGCGCTTCTTCCTCGGTGGCGACAAGGAGCGTGAGGAGCTGGAGGACGACAGCAGTGACGAGGAGCAGATTGATTTGCAAAAGATGAAGCATCAGATCGGCATCAACAAGAAGTCAAAGAAGCAGGCAAATGCGTACAAGAAGGCCGTTGCCAAGATCCACAAGCAGGAGCGCGGCAAGGGCAAGCCTCACCCGCTCAACTTCTCCGCCTTCCACCTCCTGCACGATCCTCAAGGGTTTGCCGAGACTGTGTTTCAGAAGCACTTACAAAACACCAAGACAAAGTTCTCCCACGAGAACAAGCTCCTCGTCCTACAGTTGGTTACTAGACTGGTTGGTCTTCACAAGTTGACCATCATCAGTCTGTACTCGTGGTTCATCAAATTCCTCACGCCCCGCCAAGAGTCGGTCACTTCTTACTTGGCTTCTCTGGCTCAGGGAACGCACAGCCTGGTCCCCCCTGATGCGGTTGAGCCCCTCATCCAGAAGATTGCAAACGAATTCGTCTCAGAAGCCGCCGCCGCTGAGGTTGCTGCAGCTGGTCTGAATGCTATTCGTGAAATTTGCGTCAGACAGCCCCTGGCTATGTCCGATACACTGCTGCAAGATCTTGTTCAGTACAGGAAGAGCAAAGACAAGGGAACGATGATGGCGGCCAAGGGTCTTCTGTCTCTGTACAGAGAGGTTGGCGCTGATCTGCTGCAGAAGAAGGACCGAGGCAAGGATGCGTCTATGGGTCTTAGAAGCGGAGAAATCAAGACGAAGAGATTCGGCGAGGAGGAAGTTGGAGGCATTGAGGGTATCGAACTATTGGCAAGATACAAGGAGGAGCAGCGCAAGCTCAAGCGTGCCGCCAAGGGCTTGCCTGAAGACGGCGCCGATAAGGACGAAGACGAGGACGAGGAGGGCTACAAGTCAGAGGACTGGGAAGTGGACTCCGACGACAGCGACGACTCGGGCGGCTGGATCAACGTTGATCACTCGGATGACGAGGATGAACCTGCGCCGAAGAAGCGGAGAACAGCAGAGGACGGCTCGGATGATGAGGAAGAGGACGAGGAGGACGACGTTGATGAACTCGAGCGGATACAAAAACTCGCCACGACCACCATTCTCACACCCGCCGACCTCGCGAAGCTCCAAGAGCTGCGCATGGAGGCCAGTCTCAACAAGACACTGGGCAAGACCTCGAAACGTTCCAAGGAGGCTGAGAAGGCTCTGGCCCGTCACGCAGATGACGGCCTTACGGCTGAGCAGATTGAGGCTCCCGCCAGGCTGCGCAAGACGACTAAGGAGGAGAGAGTCGCGTTGGCTCAGGAGGGCAAGCCAGGTCGCGAGGAGCACAAGTCGACGCAAGCGATCCGCCGGTCCAAGAAGGAAGCCGAGGGCAAGAGTTCGACGAACAAGGAGAAGGCGCGCCAGAAGAACTTCATGATGACGCTGAACAAGGCCAAGTACAAGAATAAGAGGAGTTTGGTGCAGACGAAGAAGGTGCTGCAGGGCCACATTGAGAGGAGTAAACGTGGCGGAAGACGTGCCAACGGTACATAGACTAGGTAAGGCTGTTGCAGAGTTTCTCTGTTTGAAACCTGGGTTCTTAGTTTGGGGATGATGGCGTATGTAATTAAAAGCTCTGTGTTCCTGCATGCAAACAAACAATCAAGAAGTGCTTGGTCAAGTTCACGACGACTTCTCGCAAAGTTGACTCCATCTATTAGGTCGCCTATCGACAGTTCTAGCCTGTGGAAAGCTTCATCTTCAGTCATCTCCACCTTGCCTTGAGCTGGCCTATCCTCTTAAACCCACCCACCTCTCCTTAAGCAGCAATTCGACTAAAAAGACGAAGCATCGCTTCCTTCTTCAACACAACTGAACCAGATTCAGTAGTAAGGGCCACCAACCCTGAATACCCACCCCTCACTTGAGGCTTGCACACACCAGGCTTAATGCTTCTTGTTCGTGCGACCGGGTCTTGGCCAATGTGTCTTCCTCCACGCAGTCCATCCTCTCCATCCGACCATATGTTTGGCAGCTAGGCAATCCGCACATAACTTTTTGCCTAGTCGCGCAAAGTTCTTCTGGCAACCGCACTTCGTTCTTGTCAAGATACCTGTGGAGGACACAGCTTCCGCAGGCTCGTCGTCGACATCCATCGCC